AGGGTCGATGAAATTGACTGAGTAAATTGAAAGGAAAGTGAACTACTGAATCATAGCTCATGATCTAAAGTGAAACACTGACGTCAAAGAGTGGAGAATGGCATGCAACAGAACATTAAACCATTCATGTGTGACTGGATGCCAAAGCTCCAAATTTAACTTGTTGGCACTCAGGTTGTTGCAGCAGCATTTTATTGAATAGCAATGGAAGTCATTGCTTGACATACAAGCCAAAAGTGACCTTGTTTTCCACCTACAGTAGGTTTCGCTTAGGTGGATGCTGATGTGTCATAAAGTACACATAAAGTAAACAACAAGAAAACTCTTAATTTCTTCTGAAACATTTCAAAAACTGCTGAATGATTGAATTGAGTTACAGAAGCTAGTGGTACAGAGGCCCGACCATGACGTCAGATGTTGGTTCTCTATATGTTGGACTGTTCATGTTCATGTTTCCATATGTATTACTCAACCTGCAGCTAAATTGTTCAGTTTAATAAGTTCATTGCACCCACAAAAGCCATCTTGAGGGTCCTCGTTGTTGGCTGGTTCACTTCTGAATTCTCACCATCATCCTGTTCCCCGTTTCATCTCAGTTTGTCTTTGTATTGAATCTATCCATCTCCTACCCTTTTTTATCCCTGTCTCACTTTGTTTCACATCTATCGTATTAAGTATGATGTATTTGTGCAGCTCCCTGCTGTTTCCAATTTCCCCCTCCAAGAATTGATCTGCATTCTGTGTTTCTCCCCATTTGTGACCTTTTCTGGCCTGAGGTCCATGTCCACTTTTTATGTATTTATCCTGAAGAGCTTCGTCTCAAAAGCCACAAAAGTGATGTGAGCTAAATAAATGATGGTAGAATATAAATTATATTTTTCTGATTAAATCATGTTTACTCTCATGAAGAGGCAATGTTTGAATCAAAATGTACGAAAACAAGAAGTGTGTGTGGGTGCTGCCTATTTATTAATATCTACAAATTAAAATCTACAGTCTATGAGTCTGTGTCATGTTAACTCTCAGAGCACCTATAAAAAAAGTCTCAATCAGTCTAGAAATCAGCTTTGTTCTCACATTTCGCCGAGCTGCAAGTGTTCTAGCATTGCGATTTATTAAAATTCTTATAATATCTGTGCTTCTTACTCTGACATATTTACTTGTCAGTTGTTCTGAAGGGCTTTCATTCTGTTGCTAATACGTTTTATGCTTGCACTGCTATACAATATATATATTTAAAAAAAGGAGTATTAGTGCTTTGGGCTTTTAGTGCAACAAGGTATTAAAATAACAAACATTAGTCTGGAAATAAGACCAGGCAACAATCCAAATTTAAATACCTTAAAGTCTTAAGTTTAAGTTAGTCTTAGTTCAGGCAGCACAAAGGAGTCTCAATTGAATTGGCTGATTGGCATCAGCTGTTTGCAATATGCGTTATAATGATTCAATCAAGCATCCAATCATATGTTTATGTTTGTGTTTATTTTGGGGAATCAGCTCTCTCAGCAGACCTCGACGCTGTTTGGAATTATCATAAAATGGAAAATTGGGAAGGAAATTGTAATTCATGGTCAGCAAACGGTGGTCAGATAATTATTGCTGACTTAAAGACTGTTCTTTGCCTAATCTGTTTTTACACATTTCAGAATATTGCACATTTAAATGTCGATATTTAAATTGAATGTTTCATATTACAACCTAGAAGATGTTCACACATCTCATCTCACCAGGAGATTCCATTTGCTGTCAATCAGGTCACCTGATGATCATGCGCTTTAACTGCATGTTTCACCACTGCTCTGAGCTGGGATTGTTTTGTGTGCATGCCGAAGGGCCTGATCAGACTGTGCGCTTATTGCTGGTTGTCTGATAGTACAATTTAAATGTATGGAAACAACCTACCTCCTAACTAATAGCCTCCTGCTATTATCAGCACCAACCACAATTAGAATAAACACAAACAACATTGGGCGAGTTGGTTCTTTTTTACGCGAGGCGCTCAGAATAACAAAAGCAGCGCACAAAACGCTTCGCTCTCATTGAAAACAATTGCCAAAACATGTCCTCGGCTGCTGAAATGCGCTCTGTTGGATCAGGGCCTCACAAAGCTCTTATTTGCATGACTGTGTGTTTGTGTGTGAGTGTGCTCTGCTTTTTCTTCTCAAGGGGGAGGAGGACTATGTCTTTGAAATAAAGAAGACAACGAAGAAGAGTGGAGGAGAAGGAGTAGTCATATTTACATACGGCATAACCTGCAGCAGTCAACAAAGCATAGAGATCTGTTAGATAACACAACAACTCCGCACACACCAAGTCAGATAGCAAACATACAATAAACCTTTGCCTCCTCACCCGGCCATTATGTTGGAGCATCTCTCTTACTGAGCAATAATTACACATGGAGAGAAGAGCAATGCACAAATAATTGTAGGCAAATGATGTAAATCCCCTGATGGCTTTGTTTGGAAGAGCTCAGACATGGCTGCAGACTTAAATTTGTATGCGGGCATTTGATTTTCAGGAGCAGGCCCAATAACATTTTAGGCGTATTGATCAGGCTGATTATAGCCCACAATTATAAGCACATCCTCCCTGTGTATGCGCAATGTTCACAGATCTGGGTAAACAACACAGGTGAAGTCACTGACAGTTAATTTACCAGGTCAATGGAAAAGCATCCCATCTGGATTTTTTTTCTTCTATTTTGATGCTTTTTTATGCACTCTAGTACCCTATTTACATGAATATATCTTAATCATTGAAACATGTAAGTGTGAAGCCTATCCTGCTGCTAAAACTCTTTGTTACTTTCCAGATTGATGCATTTGTGATTTGAATTGTGGTGGTTAAGTATGCTGTGACTTTTCTACTTTTCTGTAACTTTGTGTCACTCAGGGCTGACAACCAGACACACACACACACACACACACACACACACACACACACACACACACA